CAATTTCGTTTAATGTGATGAAGGACTGGTAGAAGAAGAATTTTCCCACAATGATATGAGTTGAGCTGACATTTCTATTGAATTGATAAGACCGATGCGAGGTCGAAATTGTAGTCCACTGGTGTCTGGATGAGAACAACTTTTGGGAAAGCAAGCTATGTGAAATTCAATGAAAACGTCAGCTTAACTCATATCATTATGGGAAAATTCTTCTTCTACCAATCCTTCATCACCTTAAAAGAAATTGGGTGAATCCATCTCATATTACTGATTTATTAGTAGTCACGAAAACAATACTTAATTCGAAAAATAAAATATAGTAGTCGATTGTTATAGCAAATATAAGTTTGCTTCATCGACAATTCCACCAAAATAATATGATATTGCAAAAAGGCCTGGCTTTCCTTGAAAATTCACATTTGCCCTGTGACCCAAAAGGCGCCCAGTTGTTAGCGTGTCAAGTTCCCATCCTGCACTATCGCGGTTCGACTCCTGCTGAGGGTGTTGATAAGACCGATGCGAGGTCTAAACTGCAGTCCACTGGTGCTTGGATGAGGACAACTTTTGGGAGAGCAAGGCTATGTGAAATCCAATGGAAACGTCAGTTAAACTCATATGATTGTGGGAAAATTCTTCTTCTACCAGTCCTTCATCACCTTAAACGAAATTGGGTTAAAACATCTCATAAAAACGTAATGGTTGAGATAAAACATGGGTTCAAGTCAATGCACTGAAGTTAAAGACTTCAATTCAATTTATTGTAGGTGGCACCATGTTGGCAAGAGTATGACATTCTTTAGTCATATAACAGTGGCTGCACTGCCCGGTTGAGTCCAGGCGGGATCGAAAATGCAATCTAATCATAAGGAGAATCCAGCAGCAAACCCTAGGTTCGGGTACCGTTGTGAGGAATGATTATACCCAAAATGGGGCCGGTCGTACAAACAACCTTGTTGAAATCTCACTTTGGGAAGTAACAGCCGAGTAGGCATGATCGGCAAAAAGAGAACATTGCCTAAATTCTTTGTAAGAGGGCCATCTTATTTTGTCTAAACGACCATTCAACCAATGGCTTTGTTTTATGAGGTTTAGGCCAGTTTTCACCTGCAAACCGTGCTTATAGAGCAATCCGTAGGACACTTCCGAGTTGACATTTCAGACATAACATACTTTCATTATATAAGGTATGAAGACCAAGATGGTGTGGCCTTTTGTGTGGCCCCAGTCCCCTTTCGTTGTATAGAAGTTGTTTGACCTTGTTTTTGCAACTTGGTCATATTTGCAGGAAGACTTAGAGGAGCGCACCTTGTCCGGAGTCCATTGTATGCATCATAATTTCCATATTCGGACCGTGGACGTGGTATATTCCCAGACTGTCCAACTTTGGAAATGATTATGCATACAATAGACTCCGGACTAGTTGCGAAAACCAGGTCAAACAACCTCTATACTTTCATTATGTTGAAATAGCTTTCAGTTTATGTGAAAATATGGCTTTATGGCATTAGTAAATTGCTAATAAAAGTTGAGTTTCAAGTTTGTATGACTCGACAACTTGAATATTGTTGTATGTACAATGCCGTTGCTTGATGATGTCTCTCATGTGACGTACTAAAGCTTAGCTCGTTTTCATCGGAATCAAGGTAGGTCGTCTGGGAAACGGCATCAGCATGAACGCTTCACTAGAATCAATAGACGCCTGGTCAAGAGGAATCCGTCGCTGTCTTCTGGTGGGATCCTCCTTAATATCTATTTGCCAAACTCGAAATGAAAATGAGCTCAGCATTCGTAAATTGGTTGCATGAGATACCAAGAAAGAAATAGGCCTTTATAAAAACGCGTCCACACATTGGACCAAGCAATGTGTGTTGTTTATCAAAGTGTTGGTATGACAAGCATGGAGCAGACTTGTCGGTTGGAAATGCTTTGCCAGTCAGTCAGCTTCGTTTGCCTCTCAATCTGTTAGGATGATACATTTTTCTGCCCGATTAAAGGTAAGTCGACTGTCTGGCCCCCAGTTACAGGGTGTTGCTCAGGCTGTCTTCTCACTTCAACCTTCATGCGAGGAGTGAATAAAATTTGAGGCCGCTTGATTCAGCTGGAGTACCTGTGAAGGCCCACTCGAGCAAATATTATTGACAAGCATTCGTTTCGAAGGAAAACTTGGTTGGATGGTGTTTGTGACTTGGTCTCATCGGAAACAGAATTAGCTGAACACATTGTTAGTATATTATACGGAAGAGAATGGGTAGGATTAGGTATTTTTCGCAACTTGGTCTTATTGTCAGGGCGACTACAAGTCCCCCTGACAACAAGACCAAGTTGCGACAACGAGGTCAACCCATTTTTATAAATTGAAAGGAGACTGCGACCATACCAGAGGCCGCAACATCTTGGTCTTCATATTTTCAATTAGGTATGTTTCGTTTGTAAGTAGGTTTTTAAAACTTCCAATAGATCATCTGTATGCGGTGAATTCATCCTATTTCGTTTTAAAATGATGAAGAAGTGGGAGTTGACTATTCCCACAATGATGTGAGTAGTGCGAAAAGTCAACTACCGGTCTTTTATATTCTTAAGCAAACTCTATAGAAATAAATAAGGCAGCCAATTAGGAGGAAAAGGAACTATTTGTGGTGCATTGTTGCACAGCTTTTCATTTTTCAGGCAAAGTTGGTTGGAAGGAATTCGTAGATTGGTTGCACCGAAAACCAAGGGAGGATTGCTTCAGAGTGAAAACTGTTACATTGTCCGAAGAATTCCTCAGTTCAGCGTCTTAAGAGCTCGAGCCATCCGTGCTAAGTAGCGCGAAAAATTTCCATTAGCGTCATGCTTTCACATAAAATTTTAGCAAATTGTCGCGCCATATTCATGCCAACATGATGCTAACATGGGGTCATTTGTGTGGCATCGAACAAAGTCTTTCCATTAATAAACTGGAGCCGGGAAATGTTGCAGGAGAAGCTGATCGGTAGTGATTTGTAAATTTATCTCACAAGAAACCGAAGGAGGATTGCCTTGAATGAGGGCACAGACTTTGGGATTGTGCTAGGCTTTCGTCTAACATCTGACAGACGAAGAAAGTTCCGCACGAATTCTTCGAGAACATTTTTACATAATCCAACAATCCTAACTCCAAGGCAAGCCTTATTCGGTTTCCGCTGGGACAAATTCGAAATGAAAAATCATGTACAGTAGATCGCAAATCCCTTTTTTCTTTAACTACTTGAATTTTCTAATTTTTATTTGTGTTTGCCAGTATACTCTAAAACGTTACTAATATATTCGTCTTCGGTATGCCTTCAGAGTATTACTATGTCTTGAATAGTGCCAGTGAAAGTTACCATCGTTATGAGGCTCTATACTGATTCTATTGTGTGAAGTTCATTCTTTAATGTACCTTAAATGGTAGATGCCAGTTAAGGTTGCCTTAAAAAGCACCAGCAACCACTTCTTCGGGAGTCAAATGGAGGCTGGAATATCAGTCCACCGAAGAGCCGATTTATACAATTTTCTTAGGCCTTCCTTCTTTATGTGAAGGATTTCCTTGCTCGGGGCACTGTTGGACACTTGAAATATCTATCACTTTTGGCGGTTTTACGCCTAAGCCTGCTTGTGCATTAAGCACTGCAGCAGTTTTATGCCCACAACGTGACCTACGCAAATTTCTGGCACGTCAGAAACGAGTTAGTAGTTGCTTTCTGTTTGGAAACTTGTTTCCACATTACTTCAATCTACAGCACAGCCGGCAACTCTGCCCTTGGACAGGCACACGGGCAAGCAGATGAACAGACCGAGCGTTCTAGACTTTTCGCCTATTTTGCGCAGGTTTCGCCCTCTTCATCCTCGAAGTTATGACGTTCAGGCTGCGCTAGGAAAAGCCAGTCGACTCGATGGCCGAGACTTTATGAGGCGTGCTGTGCAGGCCGAACAAAAATCGCATAGAAAATGCTCTCATTTTGTTGGTCTTCACGACTGGTGCATGAAGGTTGCAAAGAGTTGTCGACGCAAACTACAACCGGAAATTTTGACTTGATGAGTTTACAACATTTGTGTCCCCTGACACGACGGATACCAGAATCAGAGACTGACATCCATTCAACTCTGAGGCGTTTCAGCTCAATTTCTCGACAGAATTGCTTTCCTGCTCACAAGACGGTCAGGCCTATAAAAAGCCACCGAATACACTCCAGCACAACTTGACGGGAAAAAAGCTATTAAACGCCTGGAAAGCCATCCCAGTACTACGTAATACCATGACTCAAGAAAGGAGGGAAAATTCGACATAAGTCTGCATCTCCCTGATAGGCATAGGCTGACAAAGCGGTGACGAGATGGCTTTTCTACACAAAGCAGCTGAGTTCGAGTCCCGATGCTGCAACGATGGGCCGAGCGGTGCGGCTGCGAGTCCCAGTTGTCCCATTACCGTTCCATGAACTTGCCCATTGTTTGGGGACATAACTTGAAACGCGTAGAGCCCGGATGATTTTTCATTGCTTGAAAGTCGGCTTCAACTTTGTTGACCTGTCTAGGAAGATAAGAGAGAAGGAGATTTTTATAACATCTGGTGCAGATGATTGTATAGCAAAATAAGTAGATGCAGATTTGCATTACAGACGCCTGATACTAGTCCGAACCAAGAATTTTTACTTTTCGTTTATCATCAAGTCATATTCGAGGTGTCCATAAACAATGCAGTTGACCCTCTCTAGATCACAATTTTCTTGACTGTATCATTCATTAACCATCGAGTTTAAACACGCACATACACATACACACAAACACACATACACAATAATAATCCCATGCAGAAGTGATATGAGGAACCCAAATTTTTAGTGATATTATGAGACAGATGATATCGGTTCACGATACCGACTGTCCTAGGGGATACGGGACAAGGCCGAAACCGAAGAGAAAGCAGGTTTGAGGTGCGGGCTGCATGGGAAATTGGTGGTCTGCAGTCCCATCAACAATACCATCATAAAGCGCTGTCTTCCAGAAGCCTCTATACAACAAAAGGAGATAATAGTAAAAATATTTCAAGATTATAATCACAAGACGGATGTGAAGTTTAAGGAAAACCAAGCTTTTATCAGTTCTACTTTATAGTGAAACTAGAGTGGATAAGGTAGACTTAAATACACAATGAAATGAATTGGAAACTCCGCTTTAAGAGCTTCTATCACAATAAGCTTTTATAAGAAATCTGCTGATAGTTATGAAATGTAATCACTATTTAGAATGGAATCTTGATTTTCCCTTAAGTAAAACGGCCTCAATAGTTCTATCTCAAAATCGTCCACTAGTGTTTAAACCCACTAATGTTGAGTATACGTGAAATAGATTATGATGGAAAAATACATTTTGCCTCATCGACATTCGACAAATGTGGGGCATCAAATATTACTTGAAGTAAAATTCCACCTTATACAACCTTGGGTAATTAGAGAAAAAAGAAAAAGAAAAAGAAAAACGACTAAAGCATATCTTTCCGTGTTTAATTCCTACCATTCTGACAAGATTAAATAAAAATAAGACTTGTTGTCGTTTGGATCCACTTATTAGCTGTACTCAGGGTAACAATAGCGTGCATGATCGAAATGCTTTCACACCAGTTTTATATTTTTGTCATCAGTAGGCTTTGAGAGGATATTATCCTTTAATAACATGGGTAGGCCTTAGGGTGCCAGTTAGCCATTTTTCTCGAAAGGTTTTTTCATTCAGAATGAACTGCAGTTTTGATCGTGCCTTAGTCTCATCACCCCACCGACAGGATTCATAAGGATTATTATGAATCTCAGCAACACGGTACAAATTCACTACACAGATACAGATTCCGGTGTTTCATAGGGCAGATGTGACATAGAAGGCAAACAAGGCCTTTCATGAATCACATTTATCGTGAGATTATCTTGGGCGAAGACAAATATTTGCCAACACAAAATAGAAATTTACTTCTCTTGCAGCAAGTAGGTTTAAACATTTTCGATAATTTTCCAATAGCAATTTAGTTATAATAATATGAGATGTATTCACCCCATTTCGTTTAAGGTGATGAAGGACTGGTAGTAGAATTTTCCCTCAATCATATGAGTTGAGTTGACGTTTCCATTGATTTCACATAGAATTGCTTTCCCAGAAAGTGTTCTCATCCAGGGTTGACGGAAGCTTCGACCTCGCATCGGTCTTATCAACACACCCAGCGGGAGTCGAACCGTGCCAGTGCAGCATGCGAGCTTGACACGCTGAACATGCCGCCACATTGCCACGGTTGTTATAGCAAAAATACGTTTGCTTCATCGACAATCCCACCAAAGAATGTGATATGTGAAAAGGCCTGGCCTTCCTTAAAATTAACATCTGCCCTGTCACCCTAAAGGCACTCGTGTCAATGTGGCCGAGTGGTTAACGTGTCAGCCTCCCATTCTGCACTGTCATGGTTCGACTCCCGCGAGGAGTGTTGATGAGACCGATGCGAGGTCGAAACTACAGTCCACTGGTGCCTGGATGAGAACAACTTTTGTGAAAGCAAGACTCTATGAAATTCAATTGAAACGTCAGATCTACTCATATCATTGTGGGAAAATTCTACTACCAGTCCTCATTCACCTTAAACGAAATTGGGTGAATACATCTCATATTACTGATTTACTGTTAGTCTCGAAAGTCTACTTTCATACGAAAAATTGGTTACAATACTTTTGAATATAAGTTACATCGTTGATTATTATGGCAAATATATATTTGCATCTTCGACATTTTGAGTCTAGATGTTTATCACAATTGCCACTTATTCCATGTTACCTGCAAGCACTATGTTGTGGATTTGTAACATGTTGTCATGATGCTCACGTTTCGGTCCCGGATTCCGTTGGGATTAAGGAGAGATCGAAACTGTCGTCCACCATGGACGAGAAAACCCTATGTAAATTTTTATGTCACTGGAAAGCCTACTCATATGAATGAAAAAAAAGTCCACAATCGGTCATAGTCGTGTGCCTCTATGATAGGCGAAAATTGATAAGGACATTAGGAAAGTGTCATTGACGATGCTATATGGAAGGATATTAAATCCCTACAAAAGCCTTAAATCGAAGTGTTCTCAGGCTACAACTATCCCAAACCCCTCGATAAAAGGAGGATGAGACTCATAAAAGAATCCGCCCTATTTTATGTAAATCACCAGCAACGGTGAAATCACAAGGAATGAAGTGAGAAAATAAAACAAGGATTCACATCTTTCTGTTCATTGTAGCTTTATTTGTGGTGTCAGCTAACTGGAGCACTATAAACATCCAGGGAAACATGTATGATGTGGTTATGGGCTCGCGGAAAGTTCTATCACTACCAATCTCGCGAGGTATGATCCCTAAGTAGTCACAAACGAGAGTTTATGATGGTTTTCAGGTCCGAAAACTATAGAGGACACCTATCATTGAGATGACTTCGTATTAAGGATAAAATGAAACTTAAAGTGGTTAATTTTTTTCTAGATACGAAGAGAAACTTGGTTTCGATGAATCTCCTGAGATAACATTGTTAGGGGGACCTTCA